TCTTTTATATATGGTTTATGCTAATGCTTTCTGTATAAAGTACATCTAGCCACATCAGTGGACTATCTTCTTTATTACTATTTTCTCAAGACTTTTTTTTTTTTAGATTTTCTAGGTAAGTGGTATAGTTTCCTAGTTTACTTTTTTTTTTTTAACAGTATGTATTCTTATTCTTTTACCTTTTTAAAAGATTTTTGCCATAGGGCACATGTGCTCACCAGAGAGGGACAGAGGGAAAGTAAGAAATTAACCCCCCCCCCAGGGGGAATGGCTACACCACAGTTCCTTTTCCTACATTCTGCTTTTGGGATTTTGGGCATGCACACATGTTCAGTGATTTTCAAGCTCCCAATCTGGGGCTTGAACCACAGTCAGCCATGTAGAAGTTGAACACCTTAACTACCCAAGCTGTTGATCTGGGTCTTGAACCACAGTCAACCATATGAAACTCCAGCATCTTAACTACCACACCATCTGCTGGCCCCTATTTTTTCACCTCTTGTACTGCATATAGGGTCCATCCATGCTTCCATGAGGGGGGATGACCATGCTGCAATCCCTTCTTCTCCATTCTCCTCTCAGGATCTCAGGATTTGGGGCACCCACACATACCCACCCCCAGCTTGAGTTTTAAGCCACTGGGTCTGGGACTTGAACCATGGTTGACTACGTGGGAGTCCAGTAACCATTATGTCATCTGCTGGTCCCTCAAAATATTATTTCTAAAATGAAAGTTGGTTGATACTGGGGGGTAACACAGTGAAAACTGAAATACTACATATTTTAGAAAGAGATTGCAGTGGGACCATACCCTATTGGAGGGTGTTTCCTGCCTCCTTTCTCCCTCTCTTTCTGTTTCTGTCTCTCTCTGGTAAGTGCACACACCCTATAGCAATTAAAAAAAAATTCATATAGGAATTGTATATATATCTGTCATGTTTTTCTCTAATAAATTTTTGAAACACTATTTCAGTTATTTTTATTTTGAGATGTAGTTGAGAAGTAAAAATTAAGGGTATAGCCATATAAACTGAAATATTGCCTTTGCATGCTGTCTTTCATAGTCTGTATCTCATTTTTTAATAATTAACCTTTTTGGGACCAGCAGGTAGCATAATGGCTATGTCGCTGGACTCCCATGTAGTCGACCACAGTTTGAGTCCCAGACCCGGTGGCTTAAACTCACATCAGGCGTGTGTGCGTGCATGCCCAGGATCCCGAGAGGAGAAAGGAGAAGAAGGGTTGGCAGTGTGCCATTCCCCTGGGGGGGGGGGGGCATGTCTCGCTTTTTTGTGATTTCTCACTTTCTGTCTTTCTGTCTCTGTCTCTCTCTATCTTTCTGGCAAGAGCACGTGCCCTATAGCAAAAACCTCTCAAAAAAAAAAAAAGTAAAAAAAAAACTTTTGTGAGTAAAAATTTAGATTGGAAAGGTAAATATTGGGCCTCTGGGTGTTTTATTTGCTTCCTCTCTTGTAGTTATTAAAATTTTCTTTTGTTTGCTTTATCGTCTCCCCTCCCCCCATTCTGCTCAGTATATTTACTTATGTGCTCACTATTATGGACATAAAGTAGTTTCGGAATTGCTAACTCACACCCATCTCAAAAGTAAACTTATTAACCAGAGAACAATACTGAGTATAGCTCTTTTTTTTTCTTTTCCTTACAAAATATTGTTTTCCTAAGTTGATTTGGTTAGTTTTTATCCCTCTATCTCCTCTGTTCAGTATAAAATTGAAATTATCCCTGTGGGGTTAGGAGACCTGCTGTAAAGATCTCTTTCTAGTCAGCCATATAAGATTGTATGATTATATTATATTATATTCGTAATAGAGTTGTTTGTATTTCATTTTGGTTCCCCCCACTTTCTGGTTGATTTGAACTACTTATTTATTAGGAGGGACATGCAAAACAGTCCCCTTGTTCTGAGAGTCAGAACATACTCATAGACCTACCTAATCATTTCCAGGGTATACTTCGAAAACTACCATTCCTCCCATCCCTTCTATTCCATTCTCATTTCTCCCTTCTTTTTTTCTTTTTAAAGGTTTTTGCCTTAGGGTACGTGCGCTCACTGGCAGGATGGGGGGGGGTGGATGGCTGAAACAGTGAGAGGGCTTTCCCACTATACAATACGGCAGGTGAAAAAGCTGTGAAGTAAGATACTAAGAAGAAGAAACCTGAAGCCAATAAGGCTGATGCCAATGGCAGAGTTAAAAAGGATAACCCCAAGGCTAAAAAGCCCAAGAAGGGGAAGCCCCATTGCAGCTGAAACTCAGTCCTAGTCTGAGGCATTGGCAGATATTCCCGGTCTGCCATGTATTCCAGGAAGGCCATGTACAAGAGGAAATACTCGATCACTAAATCCAGGATTGAAAAGAAAAAGGAGAATGTTCTTGCGACTGTCACAAAACCAGTTGGTGAAGACAAGAATGGTGGTACCCGGGTGGTTAAACTTTGCAAAATGCCTAGGTATTATCCTACTGAAGATGCGCCTCAAAAGCTGTTGAGCCACGGCAACAAACCCTTCAGTCAGCAGGTGAGAGAGCTGCGAGTTAGCATCATTCCTGGGACCATTCTGATCATCCTCACTGGAGACCACAGAGGCAAGAGAGTGGTTTTCCTGAAGCAGCTGAGCAGTGGCTTGCTCCTTGTAACTGGGCTGCTGGTTCCCAGTTGAATTCCACTGCGTAGAACACACCAAAAATTTGTCATTGCCACCTCCACAAAAATTGATATTAGCAAAATAAAAATCCCAAAGCATCTTACTGATGCTTACTTCAAGAAAAAGAAACTACAGAAGCCCAGATACCAGGAAGGTGAGATCTTCTATACAGAGAAGGAGAAATACAAGATTTCAGAGCAGCACAAGGTTGATCAGAAAGCTGTGAACTCGCAGATTCTACCAAAAACCAAAGCTGTTCCTCAGCTCCATGGCTACCTGCAATCAGTGTTTGCTCTTTCAAATCGAATTTATCCTCACAAATTGGTGTTCTAAATTTTTTGCCAAGAACCTAATTAAATAACTGATCATAAAAAAAAAAGTGAGAGGGAAAGTGAGAAATCATGGTGGGGAGGATGGTTATGTCACCATCCTTTCTCCATTCTCCTAGGATTTTGGTCATGCATTCACACATTCCTGCCATGAGTTTCAAGCCACTGTGTCGGGACTTGAATCGTGTTCTGCCAGTGAGAGTCCAGCGATGTAACTGCTACGCCATCTGCTAGTCCCTATTTCCCCTTTCTGTTAACCTCATTTCTGCCTACATCCTGTAGATAACCAATCTCATTAACTTTTTGCTTTATCTTTTTTGGTTTTGTTTTAAACAAATTAGTGGAGATAGATACATTTTGTCCTATCTTCTTTCTTACATGAAGGGTAGCATATTCTGGATTGGGGTCCCCAAACACTGGGCTTCAGACCCATGCCTATCTGTGGACATTAAGGAGCCAGGCCAGGCTTCTGAGCAGTACTAATCCGTGGAGCAGGAGATGGACTGTGGGCAAGTGAGCGCGGTTTTGTCTGCATTTGTAGACACTCCCTATGGCTTACATTGCCACTGGGTTCCTCTCCTTTTCAGATCATTGGTGGTACTGGCTTCTCATGGGAGCACGAAACCTATTATTGTGTGATTGCTTCATTGTATATTGCAATATATAGTGTGGTAGTGGTGGAAATGGGGTGCACAGTGTACATGATAGCTTGGGTCATCCCAGGACCAACCACCTCCCACACCTCACCCTCTGCCCCCATCTAGGGAGGGATTGTCTTCCATGAGGCTGGTTCCCGGTGCCAGGAAGGTTGGGGATTGCTGCTCTGGATATTCTTTTGTGCTTTGCTTTACTAATATATCTTATTATAAGATAACATTATTATTATATATTAGTAAGTATATCTAGTTTATCCACTTAATGCACCAAAGAATCAATACTTATCAGTGAGTGGAACATTTCTAATTATTATTTATAGCTGTGTAATGATCTGTCATGTGGATGTGTCATAGTTTATTCAACCACTGTCCTATGTCTGAACATTTACATTGTTTTCAGCATTTTGCAAATATAAACTGTTGCAGTGAATAGGCTTCAGTGTATATACTTTGTTGTTGAGGTGTATCATCAGGATGAATTTCTAAGAGTACCATTGTGGGGTTAAAGGGTAAGTGCATCTGTTGTATTGTTAGGTATTACTAAATTTCCCTCCAGAAAAGTTGTATCAGTTGGTAGTCTCTCCAGCACTGTTGTCTGTTGTGTGAGAATACAGGTTTTTCCACAGCATTGCCAGCAAATGTGTTATATGTTTTAATTTCTCCCAATCTAATGGGTAAGAATGATAGTACAACAGTGTTGTAATTTACATTGTTCTTTTTTTTTTTAGTGGTTTTTGTTTTGTTTTGTTTTTGCTATAGGGCATGTGTGCTCACCAGAGAGACAGAGACAGAAAGCAAAAATCACCCCCCAGGGAGGATTGCCATGTCATGGTCTTTTCTCTTCTCAGGATTTTGGGCACGTGTGCATATGCACCTGGGCTTAAAGTCTCTGAATCTGGGATTCAAACCATGGTCAACCATGTGGAAGTCTAGCAATGTAAACATTGCACCATCTACTGTTCCTATAATTTACATTTTTCTATTGCTAGTGAGAGTGAACATCTTTTCACATATTTAAAGGCCATTTGTGTATCTTTGTTGTGTTTTATTTTTAAAGGTTTTATCTGATGTGTACTTTTTTCTTAAAACTATTTATTCTATTTATTATTTTTATTTTTATTTTGTATAGGACACATGTGCTCACCAGAGAGAGAGAGTTGAGAAAGCTAGCCACCAGATCTGGGCCTCAAACTGTGGTCGGCCACGTGGGAGTCCTGCACCCTACCCATCATGCAACCTGCTGGCCCCTGATACATACATACCTTTTTATCATTACTAAGTTATTTACCTTCAGTTTGCCAGGACACTAGTACATTATAAATATCAGACATTAATATGACTTTTCTCTTTCAGATCTTCCATGGTGGCTTATTCTAATTCGGCAGAAAGCACTGGTTGGCAAACTCCCAGGAGACCATGAGGTCTGCAAGGTTACCAAAATTGCTGTGTTATCACTTTCTGACATGGAACCCCAGGATCTTGAGCTAGAGGTAAGATTAAATCAAAGGCAATTTTATGAAAACCTGATGTAAATAACATAGCAAATATGATGGCTTGGTTTAGTAGAGCAGAAATGTATTTTTAAAAGCTGGATAATAGCTTTTAAAAATTGAATTCTATGGGATCAGCGGATGGAGTAATGGTTACATTGCTGAACTCCCATGTAGTCAATTGTGATTCTAGTACTGGACCTGAAGGCTTAAAACTCACATCGGGCATGTGTGTGTACGCACATGCGTGCCCAAAATTCCAAGAGGAGAATGAGGAGAATGGATTGCAGCGTGGACATCTCCCCTGGGGGGTGATTTCTCCCTTTCTGTCTCTCCTATGAGCATACATGTCCTATAAAAAAATCTTTCTTTAAAAAAGAAAAAAAAAGAATTTAACTCTATAGTTTTCAAATTTCATTTTAGTAGTGGAACCCTTGCTTCAAAATCTCTGAAATCCAATATAGAAGACACATAAAAAGCAAAGCTGCAGGCCAGCAGGTGGCATGGTGGTTAAGAATCTGAACTCACACACGGCCAAGTCCTAGATCTAGGCCTTAATTTCTCATGTTCCCTCCCTCTCTTTCTGTTTCTCTCTGGTGAGCACATGTACCCTATAGCAAATTAAGTAATAATAATAAATCTTTTTTAAAGAATTATTTTATTTAACTTGATTTATTATAATTTGACTAGAGAAGGACAGAGGGGGAGAGAGAGAAAGAAAGCTACCAGGTTGGAGACTTGAGACTTGAACCACAGTCAACCATGTGGGAGTCCAGTGTCCTTAACCACCATGCCACCTGCCAGCCCCAAATAAATAATTATTTAAAGGAAAAAAAAAAAAAAAAGCAAAGCTGCTTTGGTTTATGTGGTGTTGTGCATGGGGGTTGGGCTGATCCTTGGGACCCTGCCCACTTTGACTCCACTGGGAAGATACCTTTTGCTTCCAGGCAGGCCTAGGGCTCTCCACAGGTAGCTGAAAACTCCTGATTTGGGGGAAAGGGAAGTCAAGAAGGAAAGATTTAACTTTCACAATATCTTCTTTTATCTATAGTTCTTGACATTTTTTTAACTATATATTACTTTTGTAACTATGCAAAAATTTTGTAAAAGGAAGAAAATCACTGATTTAGTGTAATCTTTTCATTTTTCAGGGAGAAACCAAGCCCATAAATAGAGTGGTTTAAGGCCAAAGTAATGAGATTTCCCAGGGTCAGTGACTTTCTACCATAAAGGACTGCCTCTTGGTGGAAGCTGTTTATGAAAGGATCTATATCATGTCTGCTATTGGTGTGAGGATTTGACATTAGTGGTTGATACCACTCTGCCATAGCCCATTTTGCCACTATGTGCCAGGCAGGCCCGTATATTATGTGGACTATTACGTTTAGTCCCTAGGCCACCCTATAATGTAGGTACTATAAAGGAAAGGAAGAATTGAAAGAGTTGGAAGGGGGAAGGGTTAAGTCACACAGCTAGAACATGGTAGGGTTCACACCTGGACTCAGGCAGTCCGGTCCTATATCCCTCCTTGTAATCCAGATAAGTAACAGATAATGAAACATGTACTGCCCCACTTAATACATGTTTTCCCATGCTGAATTCTTGGGGAGAAAGTTTGGTGCAGGGTTAAATTGCTTTAAAAAGTAAGTTTAAAATAGCTATTTTTATGCTTCAAGACTTCATTGGAAGTTTGACAATCTAATTTTTGAGACATTAATATTAAAATTAATTTAAGATGACCTTGACATTGTTATAAGAATCAAAAAAGATTAAAGTGGTTCTCTTTTTATTGGTGCTAATGCTAAAACACTTGACTATTACTAATTCAGAGACAGAAAATATAGGTGGAATTTAGGCCTAATAAAAGCAGATATTTAGGGGCTGGCAGGTGGCGTGGTGGTTAAGGATCCTGAAATCCCACATGGCTGACTGCGGTTCAAGTCCTGGGCCTGGAAGCTGCTTTCTCACTTTCCCTCTCTCTCTGTGGTCAAATTTAAATAAATGATAAATAAATTAAAAATAGCACAGATATTTTCAGTTTTTATTTGCATTTCTTTTTGTTGTAGCACAACCAGACTAACAAAAATTTTATTCATTTTCTAAGTGAGTATGTCTTTATCAGTGCCTGTTGATTGGCTGCGTTGGCATATTGAAAAGTTTGGCATGGCTTGCTGTCATCAACCCTTTCCTCTCCCTTAGGCTGGCACTCAGATTTGAGCATTAAGTCCAGGATCTTTGGCAGTTAGGTTTAGAACAGAGGACCAGCTCACCTAGAACCTCATCCATCTGACAGTCATTAATTTGCTTATTTGGTACTCTGATACCTAGAGAAATTAAATGTCATGCCTCATCCATACATGGTTGGAGCCTTTTTTTTTTTTTTTTTTTTTTTGGCTTTTCAATGAGGTATTCTGATGTCCTTCATGACTGTCAATTTGTAACTTTATTTTGAATTGCTAGAAGGTACATGCTTTTGCCAGAGACACAGAGAATAGGAGAGAGAGACAGAGGACACCTTTCAATGGAGCATTCTTTTCTTCGCCACAGTCTCTTTCTTCCATTTCTCACTGTGGTCTGGATTTGGGGTACACATGTACATGTGCCTGCCGTGTTTCTCAAACTGCTGCGGCCAGGATTTGAACTATAGTCAGCCATGTGGGATCTGGCTCACTAGAAGCTATCTCAGTTTGTAGCATTTTTAAGCCTGGTATCTGACTATAGTAAAAGTGGAGGGAAAAACAACTGTAGGAAATAATGTTTACATGGAATTCTTAAATTCACAAAAATGTGAATATTATGAAAGCTTTAAGGACTTTTTTATTCTTTGAACTTTTCCTTTTTTCTCTCTGGGTAGTCTAAAGGAAAGAGATTATGTTCATATAAAAAGGAAAATGAGATCTCCCCGATGTGACATAGTTGAATGTTTTTATAGCTGTTGGGCTACTAAACTACAGCATTAATAGAGGCATCACAGATTATGGTCCCTGTTAAGAGCTGAAAACACAATGACTCTTGCCATTTACAGGTAAAAGTAACTCATATAGAGAAAATATTTCTGGATCCTGTCATAGTGAATAATTTGGCACACCTTTCTCTCAAGCACACCTTCGTACTTGCACCTTTTCCCCTTCTTTTAATCCTGTTTTATGGTGACAAGAATTTTGCAACAGTTAGTAACAGAAAGGGCAAAGTACAGCTATGTTGAAAATCAGTAATTTCTTGCTTATATTGTAACATGTTAATTTAAATCTTTCGCACCCTTATTTCAGTTTCCACATAACCATATTCAAAAGTTTTAAAGGACCAGCAGTGGCATAGTGGTTACATTGCTGGACTCCCACATAATCGACTGTGCTTTGAGTCCTGACTGGGTGGCTTAAAAGTCACTCTGGGAGTGTGCGTGTGCATGCCCAAAATCCCGAGAAGAGAATGGAGAAGGGGTTGCAACACGTTCATCCTCCCCAAGGGATGATTTCTTGCTTTCTGTCTCTTTGGCAAGCACATGTGCCCTATAGCAAGAATCTCTCTTAAGGGAAAAAAAAAAGGTTTTAAGAGACTTAGTCATTCTATTTATTTATTTATTTTGGGTTTTTGCTGTACGGTATATGTGCTTGCTGGGGGAGGGGAGGAGTGAGAAATCTCTCCAGGGAGGATGACCATGCTGCAGTTCCTTCTCCTCTAGTCTCTTCTTGAGACTTTGGATGCTGCACATGCATACGCACCTGGCATGATTGTTTTAGCCACCAGGTCTGGGACTTGAACCGTGGTTCACTTCAGCCATGTGGGACCCAGCACCTTAACCTCCATGCCCTCTGCTGGCCTGGAAGCTTCATCATTTTTAAATTGTACTTTTCTAATTATGTAGTAAATTATAAAGAAGGAAAAAAATTCCACTACGTAGTAATGGTCAGTATTCTTGTGAGTTTTAGTAGTTTCTTCCATTTGTCCAAGCTCTTTGGAGGACGAATATTATTTTCTAATTTTTCAGATTTTTTAAAAAAATTTGCCATAGAGCACTTGTGCTGGCCAGAGAGAGATGGGGTAGAGGAAGGGTGTGAGAAAGCACACCCCCCAGAGGGGATGGCAGCTCCACAGTCCTTTCTCTATTCTCCTCTCATAATTTTGAGCATACATGCACACATGCCCAGCAAGAGTTTCAAGCCGATAGGTCCAGGATTTGAACTGCACAGTTAGCCATGTGAGATCCAGCTACCTAACTACCAAGCCACCTGGCTAACCCTAGAATAATTTTTTACACTTTATATATTTTTCTCTACTTAACTCCTCTTATTTCTTATGAATATATATATCTTATACACATAATAAGAATCAAAATGAAACTAATTCTGGTGTCTTCTCAGTATATATCTTTTTTTCTTTGAGATATATCGTTGCTATAGGTGCATGTCTCGCCAGAGAGACACACAGCAAGAAATCACCCCCTGAGGGGTATAGACATGCCACAATCCTTTCTCCATTTTCCTCTTGGGATCTTGGGCGTGCATGCACATGCACCCAGCATGAATTCAAGCCACCAGGTCTGGGTCTAAAACCAGAGTCGGCCATATAGGAGTCCAGCAATGTAACCATTACGTTGTCTATTGGTCCCTCAGTGTATCTTTCTAGTTTGGATGCCTGTGTATCACTTTGTATAATCCATTGCCTTTATTCTTTCTAATAACCCTCAAGCTCTTCAGTTATTTTCTCAGATTTCTTAAAGCTTAGTCTGTCTTCTGCAATTAGAGCAGAAACAATTTTTTTGCAGAGTCTGGCATTCATAGAATTTCTAGTTTTGTACCTCAGTTGCCTTTTTATTTCAAGTATATACTTTATTTGGTATTATAAATTATTAAAAATTGTAAATGTTTTCTTAATTCTCCTACTATAATATTCATACCATATAGCTCATCTATATGAAGTATATTATTCATTGATGTTGGTATAGTCACAGTCATCTGATGGTCAGCACAGTCAGTTTCAGAACATTTTAGTCACCCCTC